TCGCCGTCAGACTGTGCATCGCTCACCGTCATCGTCGCCACGGTCTCTCGGCTTCACACTTGGTGGTGACGGCGCCGGCTTTGCCGCTGCGGCACCTCAACTCTGGAACCCCGGTGGCCCTTTCGAGGCCGGGGGACTTCCGAGAAAATTGCACATCTTGAAATATCGACTAAGAAAAAATTAACCTGTAAAAACAAAGTTTTTCACTCTAAATCCTTTATATGCGTGGCGGCTAGAGTCCTCTCGTCCTCTGGCTTGAGATGGCTGCCACCTATGGGTCAGATGATTGTCTACCAGCATTAAGCAATTGGTAATTAAATATTTTTTTTAAAAATTTCCTAAACAGTGTAAAATTTTGGAACAAAAAATTTCACGAAAATTAATTGTCACGCACAACGAGTCTGTGTGCAAAATGTCAGCTCGATTGGATCACGGGAAGTGGGTTAAAAAACGACCGAAAGATTTGCACAGTCATAAGCAAGCATGCAAGCACGCAAGCAAGCGAACTTAATATAAAGGATTTAATAAGTATAACCCGTAAAAACAAAGTTTTTCACTCTAAATCCTTTATATGCGTGGCGGCTAGAGTCCTCTCGTCCTCTGACTTGAGATGGCTGCCACCTATGGGTCAGATGATTGTCTGCCAGTATTAAGCAATTGGTAATTAAATATTTAATTTGTTTTCCCTAAAAAGTGTAACATTTTGGGGAAAAAAATTTCACGAACATTAATTGTCTCGCACAACGAGTCTGTGTGCAAAATGTCAGCTCGATTGGATCACGGGAAGTGGGTTAAAAAACGACCGAAAGATTTGCACGGTCGTAAGCAAGCAAGCACGCAAGCAAGCAAGCAAACTTAATATAAAGGATTTTAAAAAAAGTCTCCGTTTAAAATGTCCTTTTCTCTTTCTTTAGTTATTTTAAAAGGTTTTTTTACCACTTATTCTTCTTCCCTCGCTCGAGGTTTAACTATTTCCCACCTTTTACATGCATCAGCGGGGTCCTGGGAATGACCGTGAAAGAGAACGCCCGATACGTTTTAAATTGTTATAATTATTATACTTACAGAGATCTAAACCACCCCTCCCTCCCACGCCCCAGACAAAAAAAAGATCGCCTTCATTGCGGATAATTATCGGTCCGACAAAAAGCCCAGCCATGGAGCTCTTCAAGCGCCACGCAACAAAACCGATCCGTGGATCGACCAGGTAGAGAGTCGGTCCCCTGCTACTCAAACGTCCAGCAACCACCGAAGCTGATGAACTGCAAACTGCGAACTATTGAGAAAGAATAAAACTACGAATTCTTAGGTTGTTTTCGGTAAAGTCACGTAGGTAAAAAATTTAAATTCATAAAAGTAAAATAAAAATAAAAAATTAACCCGTAAAAACAAAGTTTTTCACTCTAAATCCTTCATATGCGTGGCGGCTAGAGTCCTCTCGTCCTCTGGCTTGAGATGGCTGCCACCTATGGGTCAGACGATTGTCTGCCAGCATTAAGCAATTGGTAATTAAATATTTTTTTTAAAAATTCCCTAAACAGTGTAAAATTTTGGAAAAAAATGTTCACGAAAATTTATTGTCAAGCACAACGAGTCTGTGTGGAAAAAGTCAGATCGTTTGGATCACGGGAAGTGGGTTAAAAAACGACCGAAAGATTTGCACGGTCGTAAGCAAGCAAGCAAGCACGCAAGCATGCGAACTTAATATAAATGATTAAAAAAAAATCACGACGTTTCGGAGGCAACACAAGCTTCCGTCTTCAGGTGGAACAGTCACAGCACAATAGCTGTATCACTTGTATCATTTGATACAGCTGTCGTGCTGTGACTTCCACCTGAAGACGGAAGCTTGTGTTGCCTCCGAAACGTCGTGATTTTTATTTTATTTTTATTTTACTTTTATTCATTTACATTTTTTACCTACGTGACTTCACCGAAAAAAACACCTAAGAATATGAATCCTTGCAGTCACAAAAGCTTCAAATCTGGAATAAAACTACGCTGTATTGATTCTAGATTTGAAGCTTTCGTGACTGCAAGGATTCATATTCTTAGGTTTTTTCGGTAAAGTCACGTAGGTAAAACATTTAAATTAATAAAAGTAAAATAAAACAAAATAAAAAATCACGACGTTTCGGAACGGAGGCTTGTGTTGCTTCCGAAACGTCGTGATTATTTATTTTTTACTTTGTTTTATTTTACTTTTATTAATTAAAATTTTTTACCTACTTGACTTTACCGAAAAAACCTAAGAATATACGTTGTATTGTTTTAACCAGGTGCAAGGCTCCACTGAGTTGCTGCGTAGAAGGCTCTCTGCCAGGAGCAAACGGGAGCCATCACAAACGACAGCGCAACAAAAGTGAAACTCATCGTTTCTGCGTGGGCATTCGTAGCGGAAGGCCAAACAACCCTCAACCGCAGGAGGGAAAGCCCAGAGTACCCAGAGTAAAATCCTCGCGGCCACGGGGAGAGAGACGCTGCCACAAACTAAAAATAAACACAGCGGGTGACACAGGGTCGGGATCGAACCCTTGACCAGGTCAATAATTCCCTGCTCCACCACCTCTGCTGTAGCCGGCAGATGGATAGAGAATATATCTGGCGTCTGTCCAGGACCACCCCGGTGTGAAAAACTAAAACTAAACTTCGATTTAAAGCTTTCTTGACTGCAGGGATTCATCTTCTTGGTTCTTTCGGTAAAGTCACGTAGAAGGGAAATAATAAAATAATAAAATAAAACAAAAAAATAAAATAATAAAAATAAAACATAATAAAATTTCGATTTAAAGCTTTCGTGACTGCAGGGATGCATCTTCTTGGTTCTTTCGGTAAAGTCAAGTAGAAGGGAAATAATAAAATAATAAAACTAAAACATAATAAAATCATTCTCACGACGTTTCGGCCACAATGCAAGCAGCCGTCCTCAGGTGAAGAACAGGTCTGTCGGAAAGACAGCGTCTGAATATGCTAAATTCATCTTGATATGCAAATTCCTTAGTCAAGGCGCCCCTTCCCCCCTCCAACCCAGCTTAAATATACGCTGCCAAGCCTGGTGGTGCCCATTCAGACGCTGTCTTTCCCACAGACCTGTTCTCCACCTGAGGACGGCTGCTTGCGTTGTGGCCGAAACGTCGTGAGAATTATTTTATTATGTTTTATTTTTATTATTTTATTATTCCCCTTCTACGTGACTTTACCGAAAGAACCAAGAAGAAGATAAAACTAAACTCTTTTTCATTGTACCAGGGTGTAAGCAACGAAGCTTCATTTCAGAAGAGACGCTGACCCATCACAAATTCTAGCCCAACGGAGAGGCGGCTTACCATTGTGTGGAAATTTATGTCGGCGGTCAAATACGCTAAACACGTGATGGTCATTCTAAATGTGGACGGAAAAGTGGGGGGACGCGGAAAGAAATCCACGCAACGCACAGCGAGAGAGAGAGAGACACGCAAACTTCAAATATACAGCAGCAGCAGGCGTCAAGGTTGGGATCGAACCCACGACCTCCTGCACACCAGGCGAGGTAGTCAACATCTCCTAGCCACCGTGATGATGATGAGAGAGAGACACGCAAACTACAAATATACAGCAGCAGGCGTCAAGGTTGGGATCGAACCCACGACCTCCTGTACACTAGGCGAGGTAGTCAACATCTCCTAGCCACCGTGATGATGATGAGAGAGAGACACGCAAACTCCAAATATACAGCAGCAGCAGGCGTCAGGGTTGGGATCGAACCCACGACCTCCTGCACACCAGGCGAGGTAGTCAACATCTCCTAGCCACCGTGATGATGATGAGAGAGAGACACGCAAACTACAAATATACAGCAGCAGCAGGCGTCAAGGTTGGGATCGAACCCACGACCTCCTGTACACCAGGCGAGGTAGTCAACATCTCCTAGCCACCGTGATGATGATGAGAGAGAGACACGCAAACTCCAAATATACAGCAGCAGGCGTCAGGGTCGGGATCGAACCCACGACCTCCTGCACACCAGGCGAGGGAGATAGTATAAACACACAGAGTACACACATAGTATACAAACACAGAGTACACACACACAGTATACACACACGTAGAACACGCATAGTATACACACACATAGTACACAGACAAAGACAAAAATATCCCCCGTGTAGCCTTAACAAACTGTAGGGGCAAGTGCTGTGAGCGAGCACCTATGAAGGCCGGAACAGTACAAGAGGGGGTAGGTGGCCAGCACCACGCCCGGCCGCCTTTGTCTCCCCAGTGGCGATATTTACACACCGCACCAGGTACTCATTTGAGGCCGAGTTGACCTAGGGGAGGCCCGGGACCGGTTCAGATAATCGTCACTGCTGTTGGCCCTGAGCGGGAATCGAACTCGGGTCTCCGGGTTTAGAGTGCAGCGTAGCGCTAACCGCTGCACCACCGCTCCCCGACACACAACAACAACAACAACAACCGCTATTCGCCACTAAGTGGCGGTGACGTCACCACGACGCTTGTGCCAGGCCATGTGCACCTTGAGGCCACGTGAAGTGTCGAACGCCCATTGGCAGGAGGTCACGGGGTAGACCCAGCAGGTGCCACGGGTCGACTGACCGAGACGAGTGGCTGATGCACCACCTGTGCCCCCTACTGTGCCAACTTGCTGTGCTTTAGCCAACCGGCGCTCCGCTCGTTGTTGTGAGCGTCGCTCCTCCGCCCTCCGTTGTTGCTGGAGGGCGACTGCCTCCAACTGCCCAGTAGCGTCCTTCACGAGCCTCCTCCACAGAGGCCGATCTTGACACCGCTGGTACCAGTCATCGGCAAGTCCACTCAGCTCCACGTCCTCCTGTACCACATCACTCCATCTCTTCTCCAGCCCGTGTCACTCACCAACCCACTCACCCACTCATCCACCCACTCACCCATCACTCCATCTCTTCTCTAGCCCGTGTCACTCACTCAACCACTCACCCACCTACCCACTCACTCACCCACCCACTCACCCATCACTCCATCTCTTCTCTAGCCCGTGCCGCGCCCATTTAGCACCCTCGATCCGGCCAAACAAAAGCTGTTCAGGCATGCGGTGGCTGGGCATGCGGGCTACATGACCCAGCCAACGCAGCCTTGCCTGCCGGAGGAGCTCACCGATGGGACTTTGCCCAGACACACAGACACACACAAAGACACACAGACACACAGACAGACACACAGACAGACACACAGACGCGCGCGCTACTCACAGATGATGTAGTAGTCCCGTCCCGAGCGGAACTCGAGTCCCAGCACGCTGGGGCTGTACTCCTGGAACTTGATGGTGTACTTGACCTCGACGCCCGGCCGGTCGCACGTGAGCAGCGCGTTGCGAGCCCTCCGCGCGTCACACTCCCGCGCCTCTTCGCGACCCACCATGTACAGGCGGTACGTCTCCCCCTCCTCGCCATGCTCCACCTCCTCCACCTCCTCCTCCGCCTCTTCCACCTTCTTCTGTTGCAACTCGTCCTTCTCGTCGTTGCTGTCGTCGTCCGTCTCAACGCGAGATGTTTTCTTCGGGTCCATCATGTTCCCGGCTGAACGACGGTCAGATCCTGCGTTGTGATCCGATGATGACGACGATGATGATGACGATGATGATCTTTTCGGTGATGATGATGATGATATTTGCGATCCTCCTGCTGCTGCTGCTGATGATGACGCTGCTGCTGCTGCTGCCGATGATTTTTTTGATGACGATGATGATACTCTAGATCCTGTTGCCGCTGATGATGCTGATGATGATGATGATGACACTGCTGCTGCTGCTCCTGGTAATCGAGGACAAATGATATCCAGGCGGTCACCCATCTTTGGAAACACAATCACTCCCTGATCCATTTGGAACCTGAGACAGGGAAGAGGAAGGGAGGGAGAGACAGATCGATGCATTGACATCGGTGTGTGTGTGCGTGTGTGTGCGCTAGTGTAGCGGTTAGCGCTACGCTGTGCTATGAACCTAGCGACCCGGGTTCGATTCCCGCTCACGGCCAACACCAGTGACGATTATCTGAACCGGTCCTGGGCCTCCCCTAGGTCGACTCAGCCTGAAATGAGTACCTGGTGTGGTGTGTAAACATCGCCACTGAAGAGACAAAGGCGGTCGGGCGTGGTGCTTGCCACCCACCCCCTCGTGTGCCGTTCCGGCCTTCATAGGTGCTACTCGCTAACAGCACTTGCCCCTACAGTCTGTTAAGGCTATACGGGGGATCTTTGTCTTTGTGTGCGCGTGCACCTAGCCTGGCACAGGAGCCATGGTGACATCGGCGTTAACTCGTGAAGAACGGCAAGCCGTGGTCGATCCACTGCTAGACTACCGCTGACCACCACACAAAAAACACACGCTCATTAACACACTCACACACGCACGCACACACCTCACTCATTAACAAAGACAAAGATCCCCCGTATAGGCTCAATAGACGGTTGGGGCAAGTGCTGTTAGCGAGCAGCAGCTATGAAGGGGAGGGTGGCCAGCTCCACGCCCGGCCGCCTTTGTCTCCCCAGTGGCGATGTTTATTACACCCCGCACAAGGTAACTCATTTGAGGCTGAGTCGACCTTGGGGAAGCCCAGGACCGGTTCAGATAATCCTCACTGGGTGTTGGTGGCCGTGAGCGAGAATCGGACTCGGGTTGCTGGGTTCGTAGCGCGGTGCGCTAACCGCTGCACCACCACTCCCCACTCATTAACACACAAAGACAAAGATCCTCCCGATAGCCTTAACAGACTGTAGGGGCAAGTGCTGTTAGCGAGCACCTATGAAGGCTGTGGGGGTGGGTGGTCAGCACCACGCCCGGCCGCCTTTGTCTCCCCAGTGGCGAGCGGTGGTGTAGTGCTAACCACTAAACCACCGCTCCCCCCTAGCTCATACACACACACACTCGCACACACTCGCTCACACACACTCACACACTCACACACACACACCCCCACACTCACACACACACACCAACACACACTCACACACCCCCACACACACACACCCCCACACTCACACACACACACCCCCACACTCACACACACACTCACACACTCTCACACACACGCACACACACTCACACACACCCCCACACTCACACACACTCACACACTCTCACACACACGCACACACACTCACACACACACACCCCCACACTCACACACACACACCCCCACACTCACACACACACACCCCCACACTCACACACACACACCCCCACACTCACACACACACTCACACACTCGCTCACACACACTCACACACTCACACACACACACCCCCACACTCACACACACACACCAACACACACTCACACACACTCACTCACACACCCCCACACACACACACCCCCACACTCACACACACACACCCCCACACTCACACACACACTCACACACTCTCACACAAACAAATATACAAAGATCCCCCGTATAGCCTTAACAGACTGTAGGGGCAAGTGCTGTTAGCGAGCACACACACACACACTCGCACGCACACTCGCGCACAGACTCACACACACACTCACACACACTCACACACACTCACACTCTCACACACACTCACACACACGCACACTCGCACGCACACTCGCACAGACTCACACACACACACTTACACACACACTCACACACACTCACACACACACTCGCACACACTCGCACACACACTCACACACACACACTTACACACACACTCACACACACGCACACACACTCTCACACACACTCACACACACTTACACACACTCACACACTCGCACACACACTCACACACACACTCACCCACACTCACACACACACTCACACACACTCACACACACACTCGCACACACACTCACTCACACTCGCACACACACTCTCGCACACACACGCACACACTCGCACACACACACACTCACACACACACACCCCCACACTCACACACACACACCCCCACACTCACACACACTCTCACACACACACTCACACACACACTTGCAAGCGTGTAAATTGGGGTTCAGTGTGTGTGCCTGGGTCACAGCCGGGCCTGTGGACATCGCCTGGGTCGTTGGTAACGCAGCGACGCGGCGACAACTGGCACACAGATTGGGCCACGATCCGCAGTAGGCAATGCAATGTTTATTATTTATATATATATTAAAAAATATATAAATATATAAATAATTATTACTGTGGCGTACGTCACGAGGTGGTGCACACCGAGACTTCAATAACGGACCCCCCCCGCTTGCCCACCCAAGTTGAAGATACACGTGTCGGCATGTGTGCGAGCTAGATCCGGATGAGTTGCCTCTGGATTTCTTGGTTCTTTCGGTCAAATCACGGAGATCGAAAACGTCGCCGGGGTTTTTATTTCCGCTTTTTTTAATCCTCAATTAAAAAATAGTACCTTTATTTTTTTTATTTCAATTTATTTTTTCAATAATTTTTTCAATTTTTTTTTCCAATTTTTTTTCCAATTTTTTTTTCAATTTTTTTTTTCAATTTTTTTTTTCAAGTATTTTTTTCATTTTTTTTTCAAATTTTTTTTCCATTTTTTTTCCAATTTTTTTTTTCAATTTTTTTCTTCAATTTTTTTATTTCAATTTTTTTTTTCAAATTTTTTCCCAATTTTTTTTTCTATTTTTTTTTTCAATTTTTTTTGCAATTTTTTTTTCAATTTTTTTTTCAAATTTTTTTTCAATTTTTTTTCTCAATTTTTTTATCAATTTTATTTTGTTAAAATTTTTTCCCTACGCGACTTTGCCGACAGAACGAAAGGATATTATTGATCCCTGCAGCCACGGGACATTTTAAGCCGAAAAGTTCCATCTGGGGTCTGGGCGAAACTCGAGGACGGCAACAGCCATAGCAGCATCATCGGCAGTGGCAGCGGGCGGATCGATACGTGGACAGCGCGATGGGAGAGGGGAGGGAAATCAGAAGCGAGTTGGTTTTTTTTTGTGTTCCATCTGCGGAGTAGTGTGTGTGGAAATATTTAAATAATTAATGGCCTTCCCCCCCCCCCATCCATCAGTGGAAGGAAATCACGTGATGATTAATTGGGGTTCAACTCGCCCCGCTCCCTTCCCCGAGTGTCCTGCAACCCCGATAACGGATAGCATCGCCAATTACAGGGTGCACACGAACACACACACACACAGTGTCACACACACACACAGTGCTACACACACACACAGGGTGCACACACACACAGTGCTACACACACACACAGGGCTACACACACAGTGTTACACACACACACAGTGTCACACACACACAGTGCTACACACACACACACACAGTGTCACACACACACACAGGGTGCACACACACACACAGGGTGCACACGAACACACACACACACACACAGTGTTACACACACACAGTGCTACACACACACAGGGTGCACACGAACACACACACATACACAGTGCTACACACACACAGGGTGCACACACACAGGGTGCACACGAACACACACACACAGGGTGCACACGAACACACACACACACAGTGCTACACACACACACAGGGTGCACACACACAGGGTGCACACGAACACACACACAGGGTGCACACGAACACACACACACACACCCTGTGCTACACACACACACAGTGTCACACACACACAGTGTCACACACACACACACAGTGTCACACACACACAGTGCTACACACACACAGTGTTACACACACACAGGGTGCACACGAACACACACACACACAGTGTCACACACACACAGTGTTACACACACACAGTGCTACACACACACAGGGTGCACACGAACACACACACACACAGTGTCACACACACACAGTGTTACACACACACAGTGCTACACACACACACAGGGTGCACACGAACACACACACACACACAGTGCTACACACACACACAGGGTGCACACGAACACACACACACACAGGGTGCACACGAACACACACACACACAGGGTGCACACGAACACACACACAGGGTGCACACGAACACACACATAGGGTGCACACGAACACACACACAGGGTGCACACGAACACACACACACACAGGGTGCACACGAACACACACACAGGGTGCACACGAACACACACACACACAGGGTGCACACGAACACACACACACACAGGGTGCACACGAACACACACACACACACAGTGCTACACACACAGTGCTACACACACAGGGTGCACACGAACACACACACACAGTGTCACACACACACAGTGCTACACACACAGGGTGCACACGAACACACACACACACAGTGCTACACTGACACACACACACAGTGTCACACACACACAGGGTGCACACACACAGGGTGCACACGAACACAGACACACACACAGTGCTACACACACACACAGTGCTACACACACACAGGGTGCACACGAACACACACACACACAGGGTGCACACGAACACACACACAGGGTGCACACGAACACACACACACACAGTGCTACACACACACACAGGGTGCACACACACAGGGTGCACACGAACACACACACACACAGTGCTACACACACACACAGTGCTACACACACACACGGTGCACACGAACACACACACACACAGGGTGCACACGAACACACACACAGGGTGCACACGAACACACACACACACACAGTGCTACACACACACACAGGGTGCACACACAGAGGGTGCACACGAACACACACACACACAGTGCTACACACACACACAGTGCTACACACACACAGGGTGCACACGAACACACACACACACAGTGCTACACACACACCCTGTGCTACACTCACACACACAGGGTGCACACGAACACACACACACACAGGGTGCACACGAACACACACACAGGGTGCACACGAACACACACACACACACAGTGCTACACACA